TCAGGACAACAATATTAAGAAAAATCCCTAGATTTCCACTTTGTATTCAGAAGGGAAAAAGTCACTACTGCCGGTTAATTAGAGGTTCTTCCTGACCCAAAAGGCCTTTTTTTCAAGCTTTTCACAAAAATTGTTAATGTTCAGAATTTTTCATGAAAATGTCATGTTTATCAATTTAACCAAAACTTTTATCAACGTTCAAAGTTAATGAACATTTGTGTTTACTGGAAATGTGACTTTACAACAAAAATGTCTGATAAATCAAAATCATGCTGGAAATTAAGATAAAGGTTTCAGAATCTTTCATGGGGAGGGGGAGAAGAAAAAAAAAGGTTCCCCTTTGAACACCCTAGCCTGCCACATCTGTAAGAATCTAGTTTACAACTCTTTAGTCTGAACTTTAGGATCAGGCAACTTGCCCAGCCACTAGGAGGCTCTCCAAATGTTCTCCTCTCTGAACAGGATTACTACACTGCATTGGTTGAAACATGATTACCAATAGGCATGTGGCAGATTCAGAACCATAAAGGGCAATATGGCTATGAATTAAAAGTTAAGTAAAGACCTAAACTAAATGAATAATTTTAATTCTATGAATAGAAACTAACCCTCCCCCAGTGCTGTGCAGTCCAAGCAGCACTATTCAATAGCCAGCCTTCAACATGATGAAATTTGGATTTCTGGTAAATCTGAACTGGGCAGTGTACTTAAAAATTCATGTTAGTTTGGAGAACTGCCATTATTGTTCTCTGGATCCCTAAGCAAGCTTCCTATCTCCCCTGGGACCTTTGAAAGACAAACATTGGTTAAACAAAATATTCCAGCTGTATTTGTTCTTTAAGAAAAAAAAAAAAAAAAAAAAAAGAGAAAACACGCCACCAGTAGTAGCTGCTTGATTAAATAGCCAGACAGTCAAATAAGATGGATTCTTGGCCTCCTATTACAACACAGTGCTCTATTTTTAATTGAAAAATGTGATTACATAGTTGCACGATTCTAGTGAACAATAACCTTTCTGTTTTTCCCCAAACAGGGAAGACAGTTTAGTTAAGAAATAAATACCATGTATGCCTCCCTGATTTGATGAATCCTGCAATTTTTCTATGCTCCAAAGAAGGATTTAGAAGTAAGGGTAGAGAATTTTTGGAGCAGCCTAAAAAATCATCCTAGCTTAAATCCGAAGAGGAAAAGACACCCTCAGAAGTGTGTGTGTGTGTGTGTGTGTGTGTGTGTGTGTGTGTGTGTGTGTGTGTGTGTGTGTGTGTGTGTGTGTGATGTTTAAATACCAGTTTAAATACCAGAGCACATAGCTCAAAGCAATTTGAGCACTCAAATTCCCCTAAAAGTCCTTCTATTGGTTAGCTTACTTCCAAAATATTTTAAAAGGTTTTCATTTGTTCCCATAATTGCATTATATACCAAGTCCAAATAGTGGGCATAGAAAAGAATGTGTGATCTGATTGGATTTTAAAGCAAACAAGCTACCCATTCAGATGGTGAAGAACCCCTTTTTGGCTCAAATACTCATAAAACTTAATTTTGTTTTTGAGTTAAACAGCTGATGGGTCTACTCTAGAGACTGTATTTAGCTGTAAGAAATGTCTCAGCTTTAGTACTGATGTGACAGGGGTCATTTCAGTGGTTTCCTTATGAAATAAATACAACTGGACACCAGATAACAGTAGGGCTCCTAGCTACTGACTTATGACACTTATTTTTCCTTAAGTTACAGTCCAGCCATTCAGTCTCGAAGTTTGTTTCAGTGGCACCTGTGTCCAGATATTTCTCTTTATATTCCCTTTGCCTTTTAGGAAGGAAGGGGGTAAGAGGAAGATAGCACTTACAAACATTTGCCATGCTAGCCACGTAAGCCTGAAGAGTTCAGCAATAGTTGGTTCTCAGAGAAAGCAGGTATTGAATACCTTCATAGTTGTTAAAATAGTTACACTTGCTAAAGGTGGACCATGATATTTATGGATGGATGGATGGCCTTTGTACTTCAGAATACATGAAGTTCTGTTTATGTATGGTGGATATCAAAAACATTTCAGTTCCATAAAAATAAAGCCCATGTGCAAAGATTTCAAGCTACCAAAGGACCAGCTAGAGTAAACATTTTTTAGAAGAACTGAAGCACACAAGACACTTTAACGAGCAGCAATGACCTGTATACTACTGGATGCTGACTGACCAGTCACTATCTAGGTTATGCCCCTTCTTACTTGCCCTGAATTTATCCCAAGTCCTGTATTTCAACTTGCCCTCATGTATCTATCAATCTCAATTCACATTACACATCTTGAGTGTGCTACTTAACCAAAACAGAATGGCTACATAGCATCCTTAATAGCTTAGGGCAAATATTACAGTATAGCATGCTCTCTGCATGGACACAGCAGCAACCTAGTTTTGTAACTAGCTACATATGTAAGTGAAGCCGAATGTTTCTGGTTTCCCACAAGCAAGTTTTAAACAATCTGCTGTACAAAATGGGAAATGGGTGAAATCTCGCTCAACTCAATAGCGAAACTCCCATTGGCTCTAATGGGTATGTCCACACAGCAATTAAATATCTTCAGCTGGGCTAGTGAGCTGACTCAGGATCAGGCTGTAGGGCTGTACTATTGCTGTGTAGACGTTTGGGCTCTGTCTGGACCCCAGATTCTGAGACCCTCCCACTTCATGGGATCTCAGAGCTCAGGCTCCAGCCCAGACCCAAACTTCTACACAGCAATAGTGCAGGCTGCAGCCCAAGCCTGAGACAGCTGACTTGGGCCAGCCAGAGCTATGAGGTGGGTCTTATTCCAGTGTAGACTTCCCTAATGAGGCCAGGATTTCACCCTATTTTTAATCTGAACCCTGAAACATTCAGTACTTTATAGAAATTTTTGTATTCCAGACAATGGTTAGTCTATTGTAAACCCTAGTCTCTGTACCCGCTTTTGAGATGACAGAATCTATGGATGATTAAGATTTTATTTGCGCCTGTATTTCTAAAACAGGTGCTCAGACAATCCCATCCTCATTCCTTTTGAGTGACAATGAACTTTTAAACAAAAGTATTAAGTCAGTCGCTCTACCCTGTAACATTAGAAGGTCATGCAGAGCCTCTGTAGGATATTTGCCAGTATAAGTGATGCCTCTCTTAGCCAAACTCCTCAACTTGTCCCTCATGTAACTCCTGTAGCTCACTACCCCTATTTTCATGCATCAGCACTTGCTTCCAGAGACTGGAAGTACCGACGTAATTGAGAGGCCTAGTTTCTCACTATTCCAAGCCAGCTGGAAGTAGGAGATACTGGAATTCTATGAAAAAAAAGCCTGTTCTGACAAGACTTCTGGATCCAAGAGGTTCAGGACAAGACAGGAAGGAGGAGAAAGCTTTTCTGTGAGAGTAGTATCTGGCGCTTGATCATTCTGGGAGACGCAGTTGATTTCAATTGGACAGGGATGATTGCACTTCCAGTCATTTGCAGAAGGGCAAGGGCAACAATGGTTAGAGGGGCAAACTGTTAAACAGATGTAAGTCATCATTTATTGTCATGAGACTGGGTTAGCAGTATTAAGTGCTAGTCTTTACACAAGCAAGAACATTGCATTCAGTGGGATTATTCACATGAGTAAGCAAACCAGGAATTTAGTCTGAGCAAGTGTTTATTATGGTCTTAGGGCCTGAAACTGTAGGCTTTAGGGCAGGGACCTGGTCTCTCTTATCTGTATGCTGTCTAGTGTTCTGTTGGTACTATAAAGAAGCATCTTCCTCAACTTTGAAGTCTGCCTTTAAGGGACGGTATTAACTTGTCTCTTCCTGCATATTTGTAAGTGGCAAAAACATGGAACTTCCATGCATAGTTCTTATTAGCCAGTTATCACTTACTTTAAGACCTAAAGCAAGCTACCAAAGCTATTACAGCTTAAACCACAAAGTAAACACCATTTTTACAATGGCTGTTGTAGTTTGGCTCTGTGCAGAAATAGTTTAGGAAAGCTAATCCAGAGGCCTATACAATAGAGAATTAAAGAGGAAGTAATGCTTCATCCTATAGAGATTTAGGAACAGTTTATGATTTACATATCAGGAAATGACCACTGACTGCTTCTGGTTAGTGAAGAGAGATACTGCACCTCAAATTAAGCCCACACTATTGATGGCCTCAAAGGGTCAAGAAAAAATAAACTGCTGTTTAAAAGGAGATTATTTCACATCTACTGTTGAGACTATGGCTCATTTTTAATTAGACTCATACAGGAAATTTGCAAATAAGGCATCAGATGTAGATGCTGCATTGGTCCTTACAGCTTTAATATAGTGGCCTTGTTTTTTGAAAAATGGAGTCAAGTACAGTTTAAAGGTTAGCTGAAAAAACCCAGAGCCTTGAAATATGTCACATTAAACCACCTTCATGTAAGCATACCAGAATTTCAGTAGGTCTTACATTTAGATTTTCAGGAGAGTCAGACCAACACAGCAAGCACCCAAGGCATCTATTCATAGAAGATTAGCATCCCAATTATTTAGCTTTGGAACAAACTGAAACATGCCATCTTCCTTATGACCATCCTGAAGAAAGCTGAGAAACATTAGCCTGTTTTTCCAACTTAACACTTGTGTGGGATGCACAGTTTAGTATAACCAGATGTACAGCAGAGATAGGTTGTCCATTCAGTAATGATTTTACTGGGCATTCACTATCTTAATGTGGTAGACTTTACATTCGTAAAATACATTTCCAGGAGAAACATTAGTGTAAGTGAACCTAGCCCCTCATATGCATCCCCGAAAAACCAAACAAGAAACAAGCCTACCACAAGCCACCAATTGTTGCAGCCTGAACCTACTGAAGTTATTTCTGCACTTATGTGGTTTTCACAATACACTAACCATTGCTTGAACTTTAACCCCAAGAGAAACCATAGGTTTTAATACTTTAATGGCAATGTTTCCAACAGGGAATTTGTTACTCAATGGAGAACATATTACTCAACTGGCAAATCCTTACCAGCTTCTGGGTCAGTCCTGGTGGAGCCCACTCATAAGTTATAGTGTCAAACGTTGGATCTTTCCGAGACACAATAGGATTAGTGATGATCATGCGGTTCCTTTTGTAGATGCGAACACCATCGCCACCTTTCACCCGGGCAGTGAGCGTAGAATACTTGGAGTCAGACAACAAGCGGCCAATTTTCCGATCATCTTCTGCGTCAGAGCTCAAGCTGTGATCCTCCTGGCTACATTTGCATGACTTGCATATTTTCCTGTGGGGGACAAGTGAGATCATCCTTTTGATACAAGCTGGACCTTGGTAGGCATGTGCTCTTTTGAAGGCTCAGTGCTGAACTTTAGTAACTTTAAAAGGTCAAATATTAAACTGGATCGTGACAGAAGACAAAAAGGGCTTTGTGATGCAAACTATATTTGGGAAGACAGCATGATATACCTTAAAGGAATTTGCAGTGGTATGGAATATAAAAAAACTAAGTGCCTTACTGTTGTCCCTGGTCAGAGAAGCAGCAACACACACTGATCAGTCACAGAAGGATAGAAGGCATAGTTGAGCAGCTAGTTTCCATGAATTTATAAGGGATGCTCAAAGAGATTATTAATTTCATGGCAGTACCACACAGTTTTCAGTAGTAAAGCACTGGCCTCCATTATTGAAATGTATAGTTCATTGTTCATTCAGTGTTTTCGTAGTCATAATTATAACCAAAAGATAGAAAGATTATAAAGCCATACTGCTGTTTCTTGATAGTCAAAATATAGAGTTTTAAAAGCAAAGGGCCAAATTCATTTTTAGCATAACTTTAATGACATCAGGGGACTTTGATAGGAATGATTAATTTGATTCACAATTCTCCTCTGTAGTTGGCAAGTCATAAAACAAGTAGTAACTGAACTTTGAAGGCAGAGATTTTCATGCAGCTTAGGTGTGGAAATCAGGAACCCACAGTTGTATAATGTGACATTACATACCACATTCTGTAAATCTGTAATAGTACTTAAGTAATACAGAGATTCCATATGTACAACAAATATGGAACTGTGCAGTACTTAAATACATAATTTAAAAAGCAAATTAGCAAACACCACAATGGAGTATTAAGTTCTAAAATCTTGAACAAAACAATTGTGTATTTTACAAGCATGATATAGACTCTTAAATCATAATTCTTGTTCATCTGCTGGACAGAAGTTTCCTTCTAATTTTTAGTCATTGTTTCTTTCTGGTTTGCAACTGTACAACACTTTGGTATTATTCAGGATAAGAGGAGGAATACAGTAGGGTTACCATATTTAAATAATAAAAAAAGAGGACACTCCACAGGGCCCTGCCCCTACCCCTTTCCCACCCCCGGCCCCGCCCCAACTCTGCCCCTTCCCAAAGTCCCCGCCCTACCTCCCCCTCCTCCCTCCCAGCCACGCGAAAAGGGCTGCCAAAGCGCTACCGGCTTCATGGTTTGCCGGGCAGCATCCAGACCCTGCGCTCCCGGCCGGCGCTTCCCCAGCGCAGCTGGAGCCCGGGAGGGGAAGCGCCCAACCGGGGGCGAAGGGTCTGGGGGCTGCCCGGCAAACCATGAAGCCGGTAGTGCTCGGGCTTCGGGCAGCCCCCATGCCTCAGGATCCTGCGCCCCCGGCCGGGCACTTCCCCTCCCACGCTCCGGTGGCTGTGCTCCTCCCCTGACTCTTCGGCTCTGTTTAAGAGCCGAGCTGCCCGAGTGCTACCGGCTTCGGGCAGCCCCCATGCCTCTGGACCCTGTGCCCCCGGAGCCTGGGAGGGGAAGTGCCCGGCCGGCGGTATTTTTCCTAGACATGTTCGGCTTTTTGGCAATTCCTCCTGGACGGGGGTTTGATTACCAAAAAGCCGGACATGTCCGGGAAAAAACGGACGTATGGTAACCCTAAATACAGATGTTCAGTAGTTAACATCTGTGCTGCTCGAGCGGTCCTCAAAACAGAAGTGTGTTACTAACCAAGAGATCTACTAGATGTTGCCTACAGTTTGTTTTTTAGAAAAATACTGAAAATGGGATATCTAGAAACAAGAAATTTCTGATATTAGACATCCTGTTGAGATAAACCTAAATTCAGCCAAAAAATAGGCTTAGGAGAACCATTGCTAAGGTAGATGCACGTCTCGTGCGGCGCCTCATGGTCTCAGACGCCATCGGATGGTCCAGGGACATCTACATCGAGCACATCACCGGCCACCGACAGTACCAGGAGGCGTGAGCCAGAGTGACATCGTTCTCCCACTACGAGAAAGAGACCAAGTGACCTTCTCCGTTGGATCATATGAACTGGAACCATAAACTCCGTGAACATTAAATCTCACCAAATGAGGGTCAATCCATCCTCATCATCATATCCACTCATTATCTACACCCGAACATAGCCACTTTATGAACTTCATACCCTCTTATCTCAATGTCTCTACTTTGACCCATCAACCTTTTACCCCCAATCGGGGATATTGCAGATTATGTATTCCTCATGCCACCTTATCTTAAACCAAACTTTGCACCCTCGATAATCTGTATGTTATTCCCTGATAACCAGAAACATCTATGCTCAAACTCTGTTCACTATTTTTTTTTATCATCTTAATAAAATTTTAACCTGTTGATGAGCGTGGTGAGTGACATTAACATCCTGCAAAACCAAAGCTTTTTATTTTCACTTTCCCCAGCCACACTAGCCATGTCTGTCACTTTTGTCCTTGATAGCAGTGAGGCCGTGTGTGGAATATTTACTATGGACATTTGGCATTATCCTGTTGGCTGGTGCCTCAGAGATTTGAAAGTGAGCAAGGACAGACAGCATGGGTTTTGTTTGAAAAGCATTTTTCAAATCGTTGTACGCTGGGTTCCAAGCCTGTGTAACACACACAGGATTTGCATTACAGTATATAAGCCCATATGCAGTGCATCAGGTGGCTAAAGTCTAAACAGAGTATAATTACTTTGGCACCAAGCCCTGTTCCTGCTGTGCCATTGAATAGCATCAAGTACATGTCTGCTGTTTTGCAACTGGCTGATGCCAAAGAAAAAAACAGTAGCACAAAGAGAGCACCCTCATTTATATTCTCACTTCCACCCCCCCAAAGTGAATATTCAGTTTCATTTACTAAATTCCCAAAATTATACAAACTGCAGTAGGCTGTACTGTAGGATTTACTGCCTGTTCTAATCCCTGCCAAGAAATTCTATTACACAGTGCACTTTTTAAAAATCTATTTTAAGACAAAAAGAAGAAGAACTAGTGGAACAGAGGCGCAAACTCGTTTCCCCTCCATTTGAACCTGCACTTACATTGTGGGTTCTAGAGTTTGACTGGTTCAGACAGTGCTACTTCACAACCCTTAGCACCTTGGCCCAGCTTTTCCCCATCTATGGGAGGGATATTAGAGTTTGTAAATTGCCTGGCTCATGGGTAGTGGATTATATTAAAATCGTACAGCTGCAGTTACATCAAGGGCACACAGAGCAGATGGACAGAACTGCTAAAATGGCACCGATCTAACAAACACCCCCACTGCCATTATTGCTGTATTTAAGTGCCTCCTAAGTATTTTAGATAGAAACTCCTCTCCTGCTCCCCAGCCTGTAAAAGAAATAGCTTGATTAGTTATCAGGATTTTATTTTTGCATGCAAGTTTCACATTCAGTTCAGACTGCTGCAAGATCTGAGCTGGCTCCTGCAAAAATAAGCCACATAGTCTGTGCTCCTGTGAAAACTGTCTCCCACACTCACGGGTGAAGTTGGTTGAAAAATTGGAATTTGTTTCCTTTGTTGGAAGATTCAGGTTTAAGTTTTCTGCATGGTTTCCCTTCGTTTTCACTTTCTTTTTTCTAGTGGCATTAGATGTACAGTTTGGATCCAAGGTGCTTAGGTCAAGTGACCTGAAAGACATTTACTCTATACAAAGGAGGACTATATTTTAATTCATTTTACATAGGGTGACCAGACAGCAAGTGTGAAAAATCAGGACAGGGTGTGTGTGTGGTGGGGGGGTAATAGGAGCCTATATAAGAAAAAGACCCAAAACTCAGGACTGTCCCTATAAAATCAGGACATCTGGTCACCCTAATTTTACAACCTATGGCAAAATGCTTGGATTTAGGTTAGTGTATATAGGTTATTGCATGTACCAAGTGCATTATTGTTTCTCCTCGTTGTGATACACTAGGACCCTCTAGCACAGGGGTCGGCAACTTTTCAGAAGTGGTGTGCCGAGTCTTCATTTATTCACTCTAATTTAAGGTTTCACATGCCAGTAATACATTTTAACCTTTTTAGAACGTCTCTTTCTACAAGTCTAGAATATATAGCTAAACTATTGTTGTATGTAAAGTAAATAAGAAGCTTCATTTAAAATTAAATTAAAATGCAGAGCCCCCGGACTGGTGGCCAGGACCCAGGCAGTGTGAGTGCCACTGGAAAAAAAAAAAAAAAAAAAAATCAGCTCGCGTGCCGCTTTTGGCACACGTGCCATAGGTTGCCTACCCCTGCTCTATCATGAGGGTTGCTAGAGAAAGGGAAAGAAATGGTTAACATATGCAGAGGTGTAATCTAGATTAATACATTATGGGGTCAAAAATAATAATCCTCACACCTCAGTATGTCACCTGCAATGTGTTGGCAGAGCATTTGGTGCAGTTTGGGAGATCCAGATAGATGTTTAGCAGGCTAATTTTTTGTATTTTCCTTTGTTGTGCAAGTCTCTAGCCAGCCAGTATATTCTTACAGATTTTATATTACAACCCATTCTATTAACCGCAGGTAATCACATCACAGCTGTTAGTTTCCTGGCTCCAATGAAGCCATAATATAAGTGAAGCTGAACATGTTTTTATTTGTACGAGATGATGCATCACTAGTATGCTTTCAGCTTCTCTGTAACCTTCATCCAAATATCACCTTTAAAAAAGGTTCTAGGTTAGAGCCACATCTGCACATTAGAGATGTAAACAAACTGCTTCATTCCACTTTAAAAAAAGTCATACTATACAAAAGTGCCTATTAAAGGGAAAAGTCAGTTCCCCACAATGAAGATATCATTTAATTGAAAGATGCATTCTAGCTTTGGATCTGGTTAGTTCATTTTTGTTCTACACAGCCAATCACCTCCTAGTGCTGCTCTGGAGGGCTACCTTGGCAAAAGTAGAGACCCTTTTTAATCCTCCCTTGATCATGGCTCCCCCACAACTTACTGCAGTCTCAAGGGTGATTTAAGTTGTGCCAGCTGCTCATGACCTCAAGGGGGCATTCTACCATGTGGAGATAGCCAAGTCACAGGGATGTCCAGATCATGCCTCCCCACCCTCTGCCAATCAGGAGCTAGGAGTACAGCAGCATCAGAGTCTAGAGCTGATAAAAAAAATGTGAATCTTCCTCAGAAAATGCTTGCTATGACAAGATTTTCTTTTAACATTTTCCATGTAAATTTCAGGGTTTTCAATGAAAAGAGCCTGAAAGTCTTGACAGTTGAAAAATTTGGGTTGCTCCCTGTGACAGAGGGAATATTTCATAGTACTTTGTATGAAGAATGTGTGTGCTGCAGTTTTCCCTACATGCTGCATGGTTAAACCTTTTCCCCCTGCCTAGTTAGTCTTTGCAGAGACCTAGATGTGACTGACTCCTTACTGTCTGCAGCCTGGGCCCAGACAATTACCTGGCCATGTGGTACCTAGCAAATAATGACCAGGGGGCCCACCCTCTGCAGGAAGCCAGCCAGGTTTGACCAGCTGGAGAACAGAGGGCCAAGTGACAATGTTTGCCTAGGAACAAAAGCAAATGATTAAGGAAACAACACCAAGGGGCTCTAAGTATGGGGCTGCTGGAAGGAGAGGGGTTGGAGGAGGGCTCTGGGCTGATCCAGATGGACTTTGCTGTACTTCTGTTCTCTACATTAACTTAAGGACTTTCTATGCTGTGTTCCAGACATCTAATAAACCCTTCTGTTTCTACCAAGCTGGCTGAGCCACTCCAGAGTCAGGAGTGCATTGCTCCCTTTGGTTGTGCAAGTCTTCCCCAAGCGTCCAATTCAGGTGCACTCACTGGGGGGAGCTCACGGAGTGAAGCAGGGGTGCTGACGGCTCCGAAGTTCAGTCCCAGGAGGCGGTAAAGCATGACTAACAGGGTCAACACACTAAAGGGGTCCTCCCAGGGACTGTTCCAGAGCACCAGGCCTGTGGATCTGTGACACTCCCACCCTCGACCCTTTTCTTGTTTTGTGTGTGTGGAAGTGGGGGGGAGGGGGGGGAAGAAGAGACATTTTGACTAGTACTGTGAATATAGTTAAAGAAATACAGAGTAAAGAAGTGACTATGCAATTCTTCATCTTGGGCTATTTGTCAAAAGGGTTTTCTGGATAGAATGAAAGGGTAGCTAAACACCCTGGGCCACTGATAGTTTACACAGGCTAGCTGAAGAGAGGAGTCCAGTCCTGAATATTTTTTATTCTGAATTTGTATAATTTAAATTGTGCAAAAAGGTTACTTTTGTTATACACAGCTATGGTGGAACAGAGCTGAGGAGTTTTTGAAGCATGACCTGTGATCACTTGCGCACCCTGCTGAAATTGCCTCCTGCCACCCAATTGAAGTAGGAGCAAGTGTCATGAACACAAAATACTAAACTGGCTTTTCTGATGGAAATGTTCTCTAACCATTATAATTGTAGGCATACAGGGATAAAACACCAGACACTATTAGCCTGGCTGCTGTACATAAGAACTTTGAAAAGCTGAAGAACATTGAGAAGCAAATGAAGGAGGGGGGCAGGGAGGGGAGAGAATCCAGGAGTATTTCAGCAGTGAAGTGTTGATATCATTTGGCTTTCTTTGGTAAAACCCAATAGTATGGATTCTGGTATAAGAAAGAAGGTCTGGGGCTGTTCTTTGGCTTAGTTTTCCCCTCCTTGATCCTATTACAGATTTCTATGGGATGGCAATGTAGAAGGGATATTTTTGTCTGCTAGCTTGTATGGTTTGGGCCATTCCTCATTCACTGAAGATCCAAGTGCCACTTCTGGTACAGGGTTCTGGCAGGAGGTAATCTTAAAAAAAGATTCCCTTCCCTCTCCACTCTTCCCCCCCCAACTCATCTTGGAGCCTGTCTCCAAGCCTGGTGGTTCCCCTTAGATCCCAGAGCCTTTGTGCAAGTGCCCTGTGCCTCATTATTACCAGGATTACAGTAACACTCTGATCTCACTTAGGGCATCTGATTCCCTCTGTGCAAGGCACTAGACAAGTTGTGGGAGATGGTCCGTACCCTGAAGAACTTACAGGGTAAAGAGAAGACAAAGAAGTGGTGGAGAGGAGATATACCATGATGGTAGAGTGAACAGGATAATAGTCTCCAAACATCATGTTAAGTCCACAATTTTGCTTGTTTCTTTAATTTTTGGATGGGGCTGTATAGGGAGGACGACGACGACGACTCGTCAAGGTGGAGAGACTGAGGGTTAGGTCTACACTGCGCAGTTAGCCTGGGTGATTGGCACCCAGGTCTGAGCACTTGGGTTAGCCTAAGTCACTATAAGCATTCAGGAAAGCCCTATATGCATTATGTGGTCACCGTTTCTGCACTTAATATGTATCTGGGGGCATTTCCCATGGTTCTTTGTGTTCAGACACTCAACAGATTCTTCTTCAATCAATTCTGTCAATTGTGAAGGAATATGCCTGTCTCTCAGGGAGACTTGTGGAGGACTATCAATATTCAAGTGACTTTTCCTGTGTCCTCACTGCAAAATGGGCAGGTTCCAGTCTGAGATAACAGCTTCAGCCCAGACCCCCAGACATGCAAGCAAAAACAGGTTCAAAGCATAAAGAGGCACATGCTTGAGGATTATGTGCGCCGTAGCAGGTTTAGACCAAAAAGTCATATGTAGGTGCATGAGCTAAGATTGCATTGTAGACATATCCTAAGGATGGAACCTTCATGCTGGCTCTAGCCCCCTAGTGGCCTCCCCAGCACTGAGTTTGCACAAACTATGCATTTCCCTTCCTCCTCCAACACACTCATTTATCAGTTTGCATCTACGTTGAGAGTCAGTGAAGCCTGAATATAGACAAAGCCCCAACAGAGACTTTTAAAGAGCCCATCCAGCAGAAAATCAATTACCTCCAAGAATGTGGCTCAAAGCCTGTACACATCCCACTGCATTGCAGACAAGGCACCCCTCTTCCTGATTGCTGCTGGCTTACAGACATCTGGAAAAGAGAAATGTTTTGGGATTTTTCTTAAGTATATATACACACATACACACCACACACACCCCTTGACCTCAAGTTCTTCCATTGTGTATTGCTTCTCAAGCATGTTGACGCCTTTACAACTATGCCTTATGTGGTTTGAGGTCTCCAGATCAATAAATCATTGGGCAACTGAGTACTCATGGTTAAGCAAGACAGCTAAAAAAGTTCTGGTCTTGAACGTAGATGAAAAGGGAGAGACACCTCTTTTATTGAATATCTGGGTGCTAGCTTATAGTACCTCCACCATACATTATAAACCATTGAGACAACATTGAAATAAAACCTCTGGTGGCCAAGAAATTGGGCTCACCAATCAGTAACAACTGGAAATTTCTTATCAAAGCAAAAACTTCAGACGCCTTCCCTTCTAGGCCATTTATTTAATGGACAGGTGATTAAAATGCAGCACAATCTAAACAGATGTTTAGAGACTGTGGTTAAAGGAGTATGTTTTACATTTAGTTTTAGCACAGGATATTGAATTACCACTTACATTTTCCATTTAGCGGGCTGTTTGAGATGCATCTGTGAATGTGAGAAGAACGGGTCTCAGTCTGAGTCTTGCTGGGAGGTTATCAATGAGTTAAGTTTCACCAAACTTATCACACAACTTGCATACCATGTACAAACCAACTCAAGACTGAGTGATAATGACTGAGCTTATTATCTTTTTACCTTAAAGATTAAAGGGTAATTTGAAGTACCTAGGAGGGGAACACATTTAATAATGGGCTCTTCAATCTAGCAGAGCAAAGATATAATCTGATCTAATGGTGGAGTTGAGCTTGACAAATTCAGACTAGAAATAAGGCATATTTTTTTAAAAAACAGTAATTAACCATTGGAACAATTTACCAAGGGTTGTGGAGGAGTCTCCATCACTGACAGTTTTAAAATGGAGATTGGATGATTTTGTAAGATCAGTTCTAGGAATAATTTGGGGAAAGTTCTATGGCCTGTGCTACTCAGTAGGTCAGACTACAGGATCACAGTGCTCCTGTCTGGCTTTTGAGTCTATGAATCTGAGTTTCATGGGATGCAAACAGCTGAATTAAGATAATCTTTGGCCTTAACCATGGGAAATAAACTTCCAGGAAAAAATGTCTGGGTGAGAAGAATTATTTAGATATAGGTACAATTATTCAAATAGGTGGGAAATGTGAGGCCAGAGACACTACAGCAATTTAATTATATATATACACACACGTACATATGAATCTTAATGATCACTGGATGAAAACTAATACCCCTTTTAACACAAAGACAAGATTTTAAGAAAAAAATCCAACCCCTCATTTGGGCCCTCTCTCATGCTGAGGCTTCACCATTCTAGTTGTTCAAAAGAAATTGCAAAGAAGTAACCACACACTCTTCACCTTGCTCCCTCTACAAGTCTAGATAGACGTTTTAATTTATTGAAGTTACCAAACGAAAGGCAAGTTTTTGTATTTGTTATACATTCATATTCAGACAGAGCACCTTCTCTTAAAGCAATAGAAATGAATGGGAGCAGAGGGTCATCAGCACCTTGCAGGACTATTCTCATTTCATGTAGTTCTAAGGGCTTGTCTCTGGGAAGCTATTCCTGATTATCTCGATGTGTAGACACACTTATTCTAGAATCAGAGTGCTATATTCTGGAATATTTAATCCAAAAGTGGACTAAAATAGTGGATTCCAAATTAATTCAGAATAAAGCATTTTTATTCTGGAATAATGGAGTGTCCACACATGGAGATAATCAGGAACAGCTCCCTATGGAAACAAGTCCTCAGCATCCATTCACTTCTGTTGCTGGATAATAGAGAAAAGCAGTGAAAGATTCAGATACACGGTGGTGATTTACTACTACTGTTCATTTTATTGATATACAGCATACTCCTGTTTATCCAAAATCCTGTTATCCCAACCTCTGCATTATCCAAATCCCTTCTTCATCCCCCATGGGTATGGATACAGTGCAATTAAAAACCCTCGGCTGGCCTGTGACAGATGACTGACTTGCAGGACTTGGGCTAAGGGGTTGTTTAATTGCAGTGTAGATATTGAGGCTCAGGCTGGACCCTGTGAGGTGAGAGGATCCCGGAGTTCGGGCTGCAGCCTCAGCCTGAATATCTACACTGCAATTAAAACAGCCCAGCTGCCTGAGTTAGCTGGCAAAGACCAGCTGCAGGTGTCTAATTGCAGTGTAGACATACCTTGTGTCTCGTGCTGGGGGGTAGGGGGGGCGCGCAGAAGAGATTTGGATGTTTGGATAACAGACTAGGGACCCCCAGACAGGAGGGTAACTCGGGAGGCCACCTCGCTGCTGATTGAGGGCAGGAGCCAATTATCTGAACAAAATTCATGCTCCCCCATGCTATTCAGATTATACAGTATACTCCGGACTGCCTTCCTTGTTCCCTGTTCAGAGACTCAAGTTTCCACATCTCATGTTTTGCTTTGCAGATGGTTTCCATGGTGAAGGGGAAACATGGTGGGGAATAGATAAATGCCCAAGGGAGGAAAAGGAGAGGGGAGGGGGAAGTAGTGTTGTGATCATGCTACACTTTAGGCTGTTCATTCAAGACAGATGACAGACTAAGTTTATATAGGGGAGTCCATGGCTGTTCAGGGAAGGCAGTGACAAAAATGCTAATCTCAAAATGGGAAGAAGGGGCAAGTATGAGCTCATTTGTTGAGCAAAAGCAGCCAATAATGTTTAAAAATATGTGTGTGTGTGTGTGTGTGTGTCTGTCTGTCTTTGCACTTCAGATTTATCAAATAGGACTTACTGAATTTAAAGAATGTGAAATGTATGACAGGAGCCAAGAATGAAGTAATTTCAAAAAGGAAAAAACTATGGAGAAATGATACTGTGGAATTCTGAATAGGGCTACAAACCTTCCCAGACTCCCATCTCAGATAGACAGTTCCTCGGCACTGGCAGCAAGTCTTTACACACACACAAAAAATCAGTTTTGCCAACTGTTAATTTTTTAAATCCTATGAGTGGATCCCTTCTCCCCACAAAAAAAAAAAAAAAGCCACACGCACACCATAAGAATTACAATTAAGACTGATCCCACAATTATGATTTAATCTTAGGCTTTTAGAACCCCTCCTGCACCCATTCCCAGTGTTGGTGTGAAAATTAAGATGTCAACTCTCACAAATGTATAGCGAGCAAAGCAATTTTGGCCCCGATACAGGATTTTTCACTGGAGGACACAACGAACATTAGGGACCTACTGCCATAGGCTCTGTGCAAAAAACATACAGTAAGGGACAGTCCCCATGCAGAAGCGTTTAACCTCACTACCATGCTTTGCACTAGAGTATGTGACATGGGAACTGGTTTAAAACCAATTTCATACAAGGTCCAAACTTCCTTTATATAGTAGCAGTATTTAAACCCTGCTGAGCTGGACAGGATTGAGACTAGTGACCCACAAGTAAAAGCACTGAAGCCTCATTACATCCAGTCTCTTGTAAATGCTAGTGTTGCCTGGCTTTCTGGAAAGATATACACTAAATCAAGTTCTGACCTTTCTGGAGTTTACACAGACTGGGTCTTTCATCCTGTAGACACAGACAAAACATCGCTCTCAGTCTTAAACTGATTGTCTGTTCTTAAAGGGACAGCTCCCATTAGTAGTTCAACATCCATATTCCCTTCGAAATAAATCAATCATTACAACTACTCCAGGATCCATTTTTATACAAACAACAACATTAAGGCTGCAAAAATAAAGCACTCTCCCCCAGACAGCCTCAGAGGCATCACAGGTGAGACAGGTTCCCTGCTCTCAGTTCCATTGCCCAGGTCAGAACTGCAGCCCAGAGCTGCAGTTGCAGGGGAAGTCCTGCTCAGGCCCAGACTGGAGCGTGCCCATTGTGCACAGCATCTTCAGGGAAGATTAGTTTAAAAGATCTAGCTAGCAAGTCTGCACAGAGCCATGTGCCCTTGCCAAGTGACTCAGCTGGTGTCAGTTTCCTCTTTTGTTCAATGAAGTCAGCATTTGCAGAGTGCTTTGAGAGCAAATGCAAGGAATTAAGTGAATTAGTCAGACACACAAACATAGCTAGATGACACTTGGTCCCAGTAAATGCTTTCAGACCTCCTTTATAAATCATCTTTGGCCCTTGTACGAGTCTGAGCCGCAAAATTCAGATTAGGTCTAGATCTCTAAACCTCTCTGAACTTCAGCATGTTAAAGCAACCATTTCAGTCTAGCCTCTACTTTAAGACTCAACATGTCTATAAATACTTTTTACCTGACTTGCCCCACCAGATAGTAGTTTACTGTCTTATTAATGAGCCTTCAGGATGCAAACCAGACAAAATAGCTGACGGCAGTAGAATGGCACAAACTGGCTACAAGCAAAGGACACAGCTGACATTAGACTGTAAATCTATGCATCATAGCTCATGATGCACCACAGCTAGGAAAAAAAAAATGCTACAAGCCCTTGAAGAACTAGATCCCTCAGTCCTGAGGATTCACAAGATATGCCTTGAAATGGCTCCCACTTCTCCACATTCTTCAAAAGTAACCACCGGCTAGGGTGGCCAGGTGTTCTGGTAAAAAACTGATCTAAAAGGGATCCTGGCGGCTCTGGTCAGCACCACTGACTGGGCCATTAAAAGTCCGGTGGGCAGTGCTGCAAAGCTAAGGCAGGCTAGTCCCTACCTGTCCTGGCTCCGCACTGCGCCCTGGAAGTGACCAGCAGATCCAGCTCCTAGGTGGGAGCAGGGGCGGCTCCAGGCACCAGCGCACCAAGCACGTGCCTGGGGCGGCAAGCCACGGGGGGCGGCCTGCCGGTCGCTGTGAGGGCAGCAGTTTGGCGGAATGCTTGTGGGAGGTCCGCCAGTCCCGTGGCTTCGGCAGCAATTTGGCGGCTAGCCGCGGACCAGTGAACCTCCCACAGGCATGCTGCCGAATCCGCGTTACCAGCGGACCTCCCACAGGCCG